TATTGCACACTTTCTGTAAATCCTATAAACTTCATTTCACTTCTTAAATATCACTGTGTTTGTTTGCTATATGATATATTTAATTGAAATTGCTGTTCCAAACAACCAATGATGACCAAGGAAAATCTTGAAAATGAGCAGGGGTGCACGCACTTTTTCATACCACTGTATATACACGTGTAAATATATATTTACAGTGTATATATCTACATATATGTATGTATATATACATATATACACACATATACCTATACATATATACACATATATGCACTGTATGTATATACATATATATACACATATGTATGTGTGTGTAATAAAAGTATAATATTGTGACAATGGAACTGACCTGCACTGATGCGACTGCTGTCTGCCTTCTGTTTGCCCACTTTTAGCATCTCCTTGTTAATGTCACACACCACAGCTCTGGATTCCTGGAACATGTCCCCGTCTTCGGAGAAGTAGCTGTTGGAGATTTCTTGCCACGGCGGAGACTGCATGGAACGCGATGACTTTCTTTTGTTCTGCTCTTGCTTCACACGAATGAAGTCAAGGAAACGAAAGGCAATGTCCCCTGAAAATGACAATCACAGACATAAAGTAAGACACACCATTGCGGCGTTGCAGACACAAGTGAACATGTTGTGATTTACCTGTTCCCCCTGCCACGTCCAGAAGCTGTGCACCAGGCTGAGGGTGCATGGCACGCAGCAACATGTCCTTCCACAGCCGATGAATCCCAAGACTCATGGCATCATTCATGACGTCGTATTTCTCGGCCACATTCTCAAACACCTGATATACTAAATAAAAAGAAAATTCAAAAAAGGAAAAGGTTTCTGTTTCAGTTGTTTGAAAAACCATGTTCATTCTTATGATGATTAATAGAAATCAATATCTTACTGCATAGTGGTTTCAAGAAACTACATAGTTTTGATATTTTATATATTGTAATTTAGGTTTTAAGTATTTAGATTTAAAGTATATCTTTGGTGATTTGTAGGTCAGATAACTATTAAATCACAATGAGAAGCAGTGCTAAATCAAAGTGCATTTACACATTAAAGGTCGGCATGCCTTGCCAAATTGGTAAATTTGAGTATCCATCCATCCTTTTTCATCTGTTTATCCGTTACGGGGTCGCAGGGGCAGCGGTCTCTATGACCAGCACCCAAATCACACTGAACCTTCCTGTGGTTGGTGAGTCCACTGGAAGGTACCAACCACCCTAACCGGGATTCGAACTTGCCCAAGGGGTAATGGGTTAAAAGCAGAGGTCACATTTGGTTGTGTGCAGTGATATGTGTCACAATGACAAGGAGTTCACTTTCCTTTCCTTTCCTTCCTTTCTTTCTTTCTACTTACTGGGCAGAGGGTTACGAGTTACTAGCCTTTGTGAAATTATAATTCGATTAGACACATAAGAGGTCCAAAACTTGAATATAATACGGAAAATATAACTTCAACACTGCGATTTTTCTTTTCTTTTTTTGTTTTTTTTGTTTGTTTTTTCAAAATTGTGTTTTCGGTTCTATCGGAAACCTGACGACCCGGAATATATCACAATCTATGGAAACGGTGATTAAAACTGATGTGTTTAACACGGTCGATAATGTTGAGTTACTTGTCGATGATTTATCTTATATCAACTCTCAGAGTGTTTTATATAATAATAATAATAATAATAATAATAATAATAATAATAATAATAATAATAATAATAATAATAATAATAATAATAATAATAATAATAATAATAATAATAATAATAATAATAATAATAATAATAATAATAATAATAATAATAATAATAATAATAATAATAAAAACAGGTCAATTTCTGAATGAGGTTTGTTATCACGGTCTATACAGTCAGTGCAGGAGTGTCGTCACTCACCTCTTTTCGACTTTTCCGTCTCTGACACCGTTTCAAAGCCGAAATGTGTATTTCTGTCATCGCTGAAACACCGACGGGGCGAGTTTCTCCAGAGGCGAGTTGAAGGAGTGGAGACTGACCCAGAGTTCACGGAAATATTCCTGTTTGAGAGACGAATTACTCTCCGTACCAGTAGTCTCACGGATGCCGCCATGTTGCCAGCGCTTGCATTGCACGTCATTCTGTCGTCAGCGTTACGTCACATAAAAGCGACGAAAAACACTATCACTATGCTGACTAAGTTAACGTCGACGTCTTAGTGTTTTGATCGTATCGAAGAAAAGAAAAAACAGAATATAGAAAGTCTGAGCTGAGACTTGTTGAAGACGTGTTTACTCAGTCAACACGAACACGTAAACATGAAAGTGCTGTTTAGAGTATTCAGTACGTATATTCTCCTCTAGAGGGCACTGTTCTTCAAGTCTCAATTTTCAATAAACTGGTTTTCCTGTTGTTTTTTAGTACTTGTATGTAGTTTATTAGTTATAAAAAATACATTAATAACAAAGAACTAAACGAAAGAATAATGCATCAATAAAATTATGAAGTACATTAAAAAAGTTATTCAAAATACAATAAATATGGACCAAAAATATGGAAGGTTATACTTTAGCATTAGAAAAGGGGAAAATAGTAAGGGTTAGGGTTAGAATGATTATTTTACCAAATCATTATATTTACCTTAAATTGATTATATATATATATATTTATAATTATTATTAGTAATTTTAAGTAATTATAATTATCTATATTTTTGTTTAATTCAAATTTAATTGTGTATTTTATATTTATGTTTATTAGAATCAAATACAATTTAAAATAAAATCTAAACCAAGAAAACTAAAACAAATCAAATACTGAACAGGATTAGGTTAGGGTTTGTAATAAAATACTAAGGGTGGTTAGATTCTTGCATTTGAATTAAACCGAAATGTAACTGTACCTGAAGTGTAACTTGTTTTTACAAAATGTTATCTTGTTTACATGTTTGTCATCTTATTAGAGCATTTTGAGATTTTTTATTTTATTCCCCGTATCAGAATCTCTTTGTTCAGAATTAAATAAAAAACGTATATGCCTTGAAACGTCTTGCCAGTTTTGTCAATGTGCAGCTATATCCTCTTATCAAGTTTAAAAATGAAACTTTTTTTTCATACGTCATCCTTTGATCATGAGGTGGGCTGTGAGTTAGAAGAAAAGGAGAAGTTCTGGAACGAGCTGGATTGGATGATAGAGAGTATCCCCAGGGGAGAGAGAGTGGTGATTGGAGCAGACCTAAATGGTCATGTAGGGGAAGCGAACAGAGGAGATGAGGAAGTGATAGGTAAGTTTGGTGTTAAGGAGAGAAACTTGGAAGGACTGGCAGTGGTAGATTTCACGAAAAGAATGGAAATGGCTGTTGTAAACACCTATTTCCAAAAAAAAGAGGAACACAGGGTGACTTACAAGAGTGGAGGCAGGTCCACATAGATAGATTATATTCTATGTAGAAGAGGTGATCTGAGTGAGATTAGAGGCTGTAAGGTGGTGGCAGGCGAGAGTGTAGCCAAACAACATCGGATGGTAGTGTGCAAACTGACGATGGGGGTGACAAAAAGGAAGAGAGTGAAGACAGAGCAGAAGATCAAGTGGTGGAAACTAAGGAAAGAGACATGTTGTGAAGACTTCAGGAAGGAAGTAAGGGCAGTTCTGGGTAGTGTTGAGATATTCCCAGATGATTGGGAGACTACAGCTGCAGTGATGAGGGAGACAGGTAGGAAGGTGCTAGGTATGTCCTCTGGGCAGAGAAAGGAGGACAAAGAGACCTGGTGGTGGAATGAGGAGATCCAGGAGAGTGTGCAGAGAAAGAGATTAGAGAAGAAGAGATGGAGCAAATCCCTCTATGGTAGTCAAGCTAACTATCCAGCTCACAGGCTAGAATTTCTAACTCTCAAATGGGCTGTGTGTGATAAATTCAATCATTGGCTTAAGGGTCATAAGTTCACTGTGTGGTCAGATAATAATCCACTCACATATATACTGACCAAGCCGAAGCTTGATGCAGCTCTAAGTTATGTTACTTTTTCTCTCTTTTCTATACTCCAAGAACGATTACAGTAAACATATTGGAACGGTTTCGTTGCCTGGTCACATGACCGCACACCGAGGACAACACAGACTACCGTACAACCGAGCTAATCGGCTAACACAAGAAACACAATTATATCGCACAAAGGAAACGTAAAGTTTTACATATTCACTTCATTACATGTTACTCTATCTCATAACACCATTGAAACCAAATACTGACACCAACTTACCTGAAACATACAGAACATAGCCATCAGGCAACAGCACAGAATAACGTTCTTTCTCCGGCTCTAAGTTATGTTACTTTTACTCTATGGGCTGTAGTGCTATTAACCTATGCTTTGCATTTCTGTTGTACCGCTTCTACCTAGTGGACAAACTGGTGTAGTCACAAATATCCCAAACTGATTGCATGGTTCTGTATTACTATAACAGAAAACCCAGTGTTTGACCCCTTTTCTTGTCACCAATCAATCGTATTGTACTGAGGCCGCTACACTTACACTAAAATGCCTTTTAAAACATTTCAATAAAAATCCAAAGCTACCTGAAAGGATTCTTGGAGAATCCAAACGTTCTGGCACTTAGAGAAATTAATTATTTAATTAAAACTGCTTTGGATTGTCATCCGTTTTTACTTAACTGTGTTTTCAGTCTCTGATTAGAGATACATTTTACACGTGAACATTGAACAAAACATTTCTTCATTTTTCCAGTTGTTTATGTCAAAAACAATCTGAGTGGGCAGAACCAAATAAAAACAAAAAAAAATGTAAAATTAATTCAACCTGTATTGAATATTATGACTAAAATATGAAGTAAGACGTACCAACGGACCTGTGCAGTTAGAAACGTAATTGCTAATCACATTTATTTAAAGGTAAATATATGAATTAAAAGCCATTTGTGTAGCAAGTGTGTTAAAATAAAAACATTGCCCTATATGTGTGTTTATAGGACGAATAATTGGGTGATGTACAAAAACATAGCTTGTAAACCATCGGTTTACATCTGATATTAAGTGAAACTTTTCAAATGTGTTGTGTGTTAAAAAAACAACACTTAAAATTATTGATGAAGTGAATTAGAATCGGTGACGAGGAGAGTAAATAAATCCAGAAGAGCTTAAAAGTTCAAATGTTTTAACATTCTATTCACTTACTGTTGTGAAATATGTGACATTTTCACTTTCACTTTCTGTACAATGAGGAAAAAATGATTTTCTTTTTTTTATTATTTTAGGCCTGCAGTGAGTCATGACCTGAGCACTGATATGTCCCAATGCTTCTCAGACTCACCACAGACCCTTATCTGTCACACACTTTTAAATGCACTTGCTTCTGAATTTGTCAGGATGGGACTTGTGATCCGAGGTGCCTGCTGGGACTTGGCTTGCCTGTAGATATTCTTTATGGGAGTGAGGGGCATGTCATGCGTGACATATGTACTATATACAGTATATGGTGAGCATTTAATTGATGTAGGATACCTCAGTTAGACACAGGAGGGCCCTGTTGTTGTTGTTGTTCTACTGTTGATAACAGTGTAGGGAGGTTCGTTAAGGGTAAGTACGTTTATACGTTAATCATCCTCATCCTTCTGAGAGTACGCATACTAATAAAAATCTCATCCACTGAGCCCAATAATTGTAAAATCTCACTATGCCTCAAGCCAAGCATAAAGTACAATTCAACTGAATCGTGTAAACGAGCCATATTCTTGGCTCGCAGGTGGACTTTCATTAATTTCAATTTTATTTATAGAG